GTTGTTGTTTGCCTTTTTTTTTTTTTTTTTTTGAGACAGGGTCTCCCTGTAGCTCCAGCTGGCCTGGAACTTGCTATGTAGACCAGGTTGGCCTTGAACTCACTGAGATCCACCTACCTCTGCCACCACGCCCAGCTAAGCGTCTATGATTTTAAGATATATTAAATGTGTTTATTGTGAGAACTCAGCTGGTATGTAGTTAGATTTCTGAAATGAAGTGAGAGTTGAGTGGGCAAACCTATTACACAAAAACCTAATTAAGAAGCCAAACTTGGGCCAGGCATACTGGTACACGCCTTTAATTCTAGCACTTGGGAGGCAGAGGCAGGTGGATCTCTGTGAGCTTCAGACCAGCCAGGGCTGCATGTAAGACCCTGTAGCAAACAAAAAAGAGTCAAATTCAAGGCTGAAGCGATAGCAGGTGAGATATGTACTGCTCTTGCAGAGGTGCCCAGCACCCACATCTAGCAGTTCACAACCACCTACAGCTCCAGGGAGATCTGATGCCCTTGGCCTCTGAGGGTACCTGTACACATGTGCACATACCCACACACAGACACATAATTTAAAATAAAATAAATCTTATTTTTTAAAACATAAACTCTGGAGGTGGAGATGGCTCAGCAGTTCAGAGCACTTGTTGCTCTTCCAAGAGGACCTGAGTTCAGTTCCCAGCACCCACTCAGGTGGCTCACAACTACCTAATTCCAGCTTCAGGGGCTCCTATGCCATCTTCTGAATCCCACTGGCACCAGTATTCACGTGCACAAAACCCAAATGCAGACACGTAAATAAAAATAGTAAGTCTTTAAAAACTTCAAATTCTGAAATTAAACAGGCCCAGCTTCAGACCCTAGCTCCACCACTTACCACATGTGACCTTGACAAGGTCCTGCCAAAAGCATTTATGCCCTAAACAAAGTGGAGATAATAGTGCCTACCTCACAGGGGCTGAAAGAATTAAGGAATAACACCCAACTGATGGGAGCTATTACTGCTTTTGGCGTCAGCAGCAGATCTGAACAGTTTTCTTTTTTTAAATATTTTATTATTTTTATTTTATGTGTATGAGTGTATTACCTGCATGCATGTAAGTACACCTGTGTGTCAGGCAATGCTCACAGAGGTTAGAAGAGGGCATTGAATTTCCCTGGAACTGGAGTTATGGACAGTTGTTACCACCATGTGGGTGCTGGGAGTTGAACTCGGTTCCTTTGTAGGAGCAGCCAGTGCTCTTAACTGCTGAGCCATCTGTCCAGCCCCTGAGCACATCTTTCTCATGCAGGCCAAACTGGCCCATGGACTCGGACACACTATCAAGGATCGAACAGAGGCCATATTATCAGAACTAGCCTGGCCTAGCTGTCTGCCTTTAGGCTGAGTTCAGAGAGCTGGGACCATGAAGAATGACAAGACAAGGACCAGGTGGAAACATGGAAAGGCCTGCATGCTGAAATACAAGATGAAAAAGCAGAATGTGGCAAGACCTGAGTACTGAACACAGTGAGTAGAAGAACAATCAAGAGTACCTAAAAGGCTACAAGACAAAGTGGTAACAGTGTCTCACTCTGAAGGTTATCTTTATTGGCACTTGGTGCAAAGTTAGGTTAAAAGGATAATTTCTTGAATGAGGATACTAGATGAGGTCTGCAGTTACACCAGCCTCTTTTGTTGTTGGGACCACTTTGTAGTCCCAGTTAGTCTGGGACTCACTATGAACCCAGGGTGGCCTTGAATTTGTGGCAGTCTTCCTGTTTCAGCCTCCTAAGTGCTGAGACCACAAGCATGAACTGCCATGTCTGGCTTACATCAACCTCTTTTTCTGTCTTCTCTCTATGTTGACCTAAATTTTGCAAGATTCTTACAATGCTTAACTGTAAGTGATTAATTCAGATTATTACTTTTCCATTTCAGTACTGATCCAAATTTCATCAGTAATCAAATTTATAAAAGGATCATAATATTATGAAATCAAATCACTGCCACAGGTAGAACGATAAGCATAGTTAAGTAAGAAACAGTCAGTCACTGGGTTTTGAGTCAAGGGCACTCACATTTGAGGTCAGCCTTATTCTAAGGTAGTGAGCATATTTCCTAAAGGCAGCTCTAGTAACAATGTCTGGAGGTAGACCAATCCTGACACAGAAATTCCTATTATGTCATCCACAGCCAATGAGAATTTGGAATCAGCATGAAACCATATGGAATTACACTTCCGAACAAAAGCAAGGAAGGCTGAGGAAGTGGCTCGGTTGATAGAGAGCTTGCCTAGAATGCCAGAAGCCCTGGCACTGATCTCCAGCACTGCATAAACCAGGCATGGTGGTACATGTCTGCAACCCTAACACCTGAGAGATGGAGGGTGGAGGACCAGAAGTTCAAGGCCAGCCTGAGACTGTCTCTGCACACACACACACACACACACACACACACACACACACGGCAAAGGAAACTTGATGGCTTAGGTGACTTTTGTGCCCTTATCCTTAATAAATGTAGTTTTTAGCAAGCTTTTTTTTTTCGGTCTTTTTGAGTCAGGGTCTCCCAGTAGCCCCAGCTGGCCTGGAACTATGTGGACCAGGCTGGCCTCAAACTCACAGAGGTCCGCCTGCCTCTGCCTCCCAAATGCTGGGATTAAAGGCATGCACCACCACACCTTTTAAGGGCAAAAAGGGATTTCCTGGCTCCCCTGGGTTCCTTTGTGAATGTGAGATTGGAGCCATGATGCCAGGTCATCCCCATAGAGCAGCCTACAAGTGGACAACTGATCAGTATCTAAAATTTTTCTATTACATTTATTTGGGGGGAGGGTGGTGCAAACTTGCCACAGCACCAGTGTGGAGGTCAGAGGACAACTCCTGGAAGTTAGTTCTCTCCTTCTACCATGTGGCTCCTGGGGATTGAGCGAGATCATCAGGCTTGGCAGCAAGTGCCTTTACCTGCTAAGCTATCATGTCAGCACCCTGATCATGACTTTCTTAGTCACAGTTCTCAAAGAAGAATTGGGCATATGAGAGGTGCACCACAACATCCTAAGAAATGCCTTCAACACAAGGATGATCCAGCCATCCTTTGCCATCTCAGGGCTTATGACTGAGAAGTGGGGACTAAAAGACACATGACTTGAAAAAACATCCTAGTAATCACAAACCTATGTACACACAGACACGCCCCACAATGAACCAAAAACTCAGCAGATGTAGCACCAGCTGTTTCTGACACCCATAACTGGTTAATCCAGTCTATAGCTACTGCTTCAGAAGCAATTACTCTTTAGCAGGCTCTTGCTCTGTAAGCCCTTTCTCCTCAAGGTCAGCCAGTCAATTTCTTCAGATACTGTAAGTGAGAAATAGGAGGCTTGACAGCTGTTGCCATGGCCACATGGCACAATGAGACCGTGACCTGCTCCTGATCTTTGCTACACTGGTCCTGTACTATATTCCTTTTAAAGTTGTGGCCCAGTCCAGTCCCTCAAACCCTAGACGCAGAGTTGATCCCAGCCAGGGCCTCCCTGATACCCATTCCTGAAGGTCTGTTCCAGTGCTGTCTCAATAGCCAGATACAAGGCAGAAATGAAGTATAGGGAAGAATGACAGGTGGGTTAAAAAAGAAACCTGGATGCATAAAGGAAGAAGAGAAAAGCTGCTTCTTGGCAGATCGGAGAAAATTAAGCACAAGGAGCATTTCATAACCTGAATGTGAGTACCCAGCATGGAACCAGACTGTCTGATCTAATTCTGGAGGTGCTGTAAGCCTGATGGCTGTACTGGGCTCTGGTGATACCCCAAAGAAACAAGCGTGAGAAACTGTGATGTTGATGTTTTTCTGTTCACAGTTCTGATAACCACCTCACAGTAATGTCCTGCCCTTTCCAGATGATTAGTTGGGTGACTTTCTTCTAAACTTATGTGAGTACTTGGAGAGTGCTGGCTGCCAGAGCACAATGCTAAACAGACACAGAGCTTTCTGGCTATCCATGTGTAATGAGGACCCCATTAACTCAGTACCCCAAATCGCCCTTCATGGTATGGCTGACAGCCACGGCTAACTGGAAAGAGCCAAGTTCAGGAACAGCCTGGCTGAGTCTACATTTCCTGGGACCCTGATGGTAAAGCCTCACCCCTCAAACTGCTGGGAGAAAGAATTGGAGAGAACTTCATAAACTGTAAGGTGCAGAAAGGTTACAATGAAGCACACTCCCCTCCCCTGCATTTTCATGATGAAGAAAAACACAGCACCATGAAATAACAGCACTTGTTCTCAAAATTAGTTAAAAGGATAATTTCTTGAATGAGGATCCTAGATACTGTCTGCCTTTAATCCCAGCACTTGGGAGGCAGAAGCAGACAGATCTCTGTGAGTTTGAGGCCAGCCTGGTCTACATAGTGAGTTCCAGGCCAGCTGAGGTTACAAGGAGACCCTGTCTCAAAAAAGACCAAAAAAAAAAAAAAGGAAAACGTAGCATGCTTTTTTCCCATGAGAGAACACACAATTTTATTTTTCTCCAAAAATTTATGAAAGCCACTTTAATATCCATGGTAAAGAACACCACTGCATTCTGAGCAACTCAAGACCTTATCAACTGGAACACAGGGAGGCTGAACATAGAGGCACATATCTGTAATACCAGAGCTTTGGAGGCTGAGACAGGAGGATTATCACAAGTTGGAGATAATTATGGGCTATATACTAAGTTGATTAGCCTGGGCTACTGTACCAAGACCCTGTCTCAAAAAACAAAGCAGATACAGAAGTGGGAGAGGCAAAGGATATCTGGATGTGCCCAAGTCACAGTTCTGATGTATGAGGACACACCAGAGGACTCTAAACCATAACAGCAACAACCTCTTTCCAGGGCAAGCCCTGAGTGCAGTTGCTGGCACTATCTCACTTAAGCCTTTCAATTCTCTGAGGAAGGGACTGCCATTATTTCATCATTTTAAGTAAGGGAAAAGACTGAAAGTGGTTCTGGAAACTTACCAAGGTAACAAAGCTATTACCTAGCAGAGCTGGGTCGTGGGCTCCAAGAGCAGGCTCTTAACCCTGACGCATGCTGCTTTGTTCAGCTGCTCATTAAAGCAATCTGGAGCTAGGAGGAGTTTTCTATTGGTGCTCTGTGCTTCAAGAAGAGTTCCATCCATCCAAGCCTGGTGGCGCACACCTTTGATCCCAGCACCTGGGAGCCAGAGGCAGATGGATATCTGTGAGTTTGAGGCCAGCCTGGTCTACATAGTGAGTTCCAGGACAGCTGGTACAACAGGGAGACCCTGTCTCAAAAAGAAAAAAAAAAAAAAAAAAAGTTCCATCCATTTTGGGGGCATGGTGGCGCATGCCTTTAATCCCAGCACTCAGGAGGCAGAGGCAGGCAGATCTCTGTGAGTTCAAGGCCAGCCTGGTCTACATACTGAGTTCCAGGACAGCTGGGGCTACAGGGAGACCCTGTCTCAAAAAAGACCAAAAAAAAAAAAAAGTTCCATCCACTCAACATCAATTCTAAGGGAGAAAACTCAGAAAATAAGTAAACACTCTCTTGCATGTACTAACATTATAAAAAGTCTACATGGCACATCCCTTTTCGTGTGCTATGGGAACACAGTTCCACCCTCAGGGGAGTTGGTGACAATAACAATTAACCAAGGCTTCTATAAACTCCCACCTTTCCTGGTAGGTTTATTAATGACTCTTTTATACTGGCTGAGGCAGCTGCCTCCATAGATTTTCCTCCTATGTAAAATATTACATGAACCATTAATCTAAATGGCTCAAGGAAGTTTGGTAAAAAAGTTAATTTCAAAACAATATCTAACTAAAAACAAACTTATTTTCCCCTCAAATATTCCATAAAATAAGCATTTGGAATTGATTACAGATCTAAAGCTTTCCTAATTTCACAATTTATTCACTGCTACAAGTCTGTTTGCGAAAACATCTTAATGTCAGTCAAATCTTTCTAGTTCTGAGAGTAGAGGTAGGCAAGGCATTAAGATTCATACTCATTAGTGTACTGCCTCACAGTTCACAAAGGAAAACAGAGAAACCTGCCCTCAGGGAGCCTAGAACACCATTCAAGCCAGCAAGGACCCTTAAGGAGCTCTAGAACACAGCCAGCAGGGAGCCACAGTGGCTTGCATATGAATCAGAAGGGTTCCCTGAGTAAGTGGGAACTGGCTGACATCCCTAGGATGAGTGAGGAATGGTGGCTCATTAATGATAGTATGGGAGAGAAGGACATGCATGAGCAAGGGCCTGAGGCAGGTGGATCTCTGTGAGATGGAGGCCAGCCTGGCCTACATAGAGTTCCAGGGAGGCCCTATCTCAAAACAAAACAAAACAAAAGGCCCTGGGGGCAAGCACTGTTCCAATCTTGAGAGAGAAGAGGTAGGGGCAGTGGGCATGCCACACAAGGCTTGAAGGCCATTCTGAGGATCTGGTCTTTGAAAAGGGCTGAGGAGTGGCTGAAGGGTTGGATGTGATCTGGAGATGGATATGGAGGTGGCCTGATGCAAACTTTGAGGCGGCTCAGGAAGGTCAGCTCCCGCTTATAAAGTTTTGGGTCTTTTTTTTTCAGTCTTTTTGATACAGGGTCTTCCTGTAACCCCAGTTGGCCTGGCCCTCACTATGTAGACCAGGCTGGCCTTGGCCCTGAACTCACAGAAATCTGCCTGTCTCTGCCTCTCAAGTGCTAGGATTAAAGGTGGGCCTCTTACAAAGTTTTAGGTGACAGACCAAGGCAGCTTAAACTAGGAGTGGCTGTGCAGGAGTAGGCATTTATAAGTCAGGAGACGTGAGTTCCCACCCTGGTGAGCTGGATGTGAAGGAAAGGAAGAGGGAGTTCTTAAGGACAAGCCCAGGCTTTGGGATGAAAAGACTGGAAGGGCAGGGGTCCCATCAGAATAAGAGGAAGATCAGGTTTAAGGAGAACACTGTAGGTGCAGTTTGGGACAGCTTAGAGTCTGATATCCTTGGTGACCACCCTGTGTGGGTATGAGAAGATGCCCAGAGTTCCGATCAATTAATTGATTCTGCTACAGAAGGCAAATGACTCCTTAACCCAAAACTAATAGAAGAGCATCTACTGAGTGATGAAGCATTTCTTGAAGCCACGAACTTCTAATAACTACAAGCAGCGTGTACAAGAAAACCATTTCAGATATCTGCCTAAGATGGACTTCACAAAATCTATCGTTTTATGATCATTATTATTTTATATGTATGAGTATATTACCTACATGTATGTAAGTCATGCAATGCCCATGGAGGTCAGAAGAGGGCATTGGATCCCCTGGAACCGGAGTTTCAGATGGTTGCTAGCCACCATGTGGGTGCTGGGAACCCTGCAAGAGCACCTCTGCAAGAGCAGCCAGTGTTCTTATAACTGCTGAACCACCTCTCCAGCCCCACAAAATATATCTTTCAAGAAAAATTTAATTTCATCTACTATTCAACATAAAATTCTTTAAATTCTGGCACTATGATTTAATCTCAGCAGCAAACAAGAAACTTGGAAATGGAGAAAAGAAATTGTTCTCTAAAATGAGCAGCACAGATCTCTGCATCACCCAAACACTAATCACTCTAAGTTTTCAGTTAAGTGTAAAAAATGGAATTTTCAGCTGATGATTTATGTCCCAAACACATCAAGACACTCCTCATTAATCTTATGAGGGAGGAATTATGCCTTCTACTTCCCAAATAAGGAAACTGAGGTAGAGAAATTGATGTCTAAAGCTTCATGACCACTGTAAGCAGACATGGAAGCCAAACAAGCCCAGGCACTCTTCTCACGGTGCCCAAGACCACGAAGGCCTGCAGCCGCCCTGAAGGCCAAATACTGGCATGTTTATTCTGAAGTCTTAACCTACAGCCAGCAGTTACCCTCTTAGCCTCAAATTAACCTTGGGCCAGGTACATGGTCCACGCCTTTAATGTTAATCTCAGCACCCAGGTAGAAGTTTGAGGACAGCCTGGTCTACATAGCCAAGCCCACCAGGGCTGCATACATAAATAAATAGATAACCTTAACTTTTTTTTTTTTTTTCCCATCTTTGGAGATCGGGTCTCACTCTGTAACCCAGGCTGGCCTCAAACTTGAAGAAATCCACCTGTCTCAGCTTCTCCAAGTGCTGGGATTACAGGTGTGTGCCACATGCCCAGCAAGCCTTGATTTTAAAGAACTGTTTTTGTCAATTCAATCATTTCTGCCCCAGCTTCTTTAAAGATTTTATTTTTATTTTATGAAATTATGTGTGTACAGTGGGGGATCGTACACATAAGTGCAGTGCCCACAGAAGCCAGAAGAGAACATCAGATCTCCTGGAGCTAGGGTTACAGGCCGTTGCTGGGAACTGAACCCAGGTCCTCTACAAGAACAGTACATGCTCTTTACTGCTGAGCTATCTCTCTAGTCCATTTTCTAGCTTCTTAAAAGAGATTTACCTAAGCCAGGTGTGGTGGCACACGTCTTTAATCCCACCACTTGGGAGGCAGAGGCAGGTGGATCTCTGAATTCCAGGTCTACATAGTGAGTTCCAGGTCAGCCGGGGCTACAGGGAGACCCTGTCTCAAAAAAGACCAAAACAAAAAGAGATTTACCTAAACATATAATCATTATCCTCAAAGTTCTGTAAGTTTTACTTATAATTGCTTATAGAATTCAATTTAGGAGCTAGAGAGATGGCTCAGCAGTTAAGAACACTGACTGTTCTTGCAGAAGACCAGGATTCAATTCCCAGCACCCACATGGAGGCTAATAACTATCTGTAACTCCAGTTCCAGGGGATCCGACAGCCTCTTCTGTCCTCACCCCAAGTCTGATGATCTCCATCTTTTTTGTTTGTTTTTTTAGAAGAAGCATTTCATTACAGCTTTAATATATTCAGTAACACATTCTAGAGCCAAAGATACATCTCTTTCAAAGGTAGCTGTAAATTTTTAGGTTCACAGTTGAATTAATACAGTCATATAATATTGAACTCAGTATAAACCTTGTAAGACATAAAATTGAATGAGTTTTTACGTTTTAAAGAAGATCATTTCATTTTAAGATATGCTGTTTCCTACACTTTTAATGCTACTACCACTTGTATGTGTGCCTGCACTTGGGGGTCAGTGGATACTTTACCAGAGTTAGCTCTCTACTTCCATCATATAGATCCTGGGGATGAACTCAATATCTCAAGATCATTAGGATTTGTGTTGAGTGACTTTGCCTGCTGAAACATCAGATTAACTTTTTTTGTATTTATTAAAAAATTTTTAATAACTACATAATTAGAAGAAGCATTTCATTACAGCTTTAACATTCAGTAACACACTCCAGAGCAAGAGTACATGTCTTTCACAAGTGGCTGTAAGTTTCTAGGTTCATAGTTGAATTAATATAGCTATACAATATTGAACTCAGTATAAGCGCTGCAAGACATAAAACTGAATGAGTTTTTAACCTTTAAAAAAGATCTCCATTTAAGTCAGACGTGGTGGCACACGCCTGTAGTCCTAGCACTTGGGAGTCAGAGGCAGGTGGATCTCTGTTAGTTCAAGGCCACTCTGCTCTACATCGTGAGTTCCAGGAGAGCTGGGGCTACAGGGAGACCCTGCTTCAAAAAAAGGAAAAAAAAAAAAAAAAAAATCTCCATTGCGCTTTAGAATATATTGTTCCTTGCCAAAAGACTCATTGATTTTGCTACTAACAATGAGATGTTGGCGTATGCATCTCTAATCTGTATGTATCCGATTATTACCAGTCATAATTGGTTGCAATCGGATCCTCGGCACCTGAGTATGGATGTAAAGTCATCAAGTAGATTTCAATGGTAATATTTGTCACCTCTACTAATTACCATGAAGTAAGTTTTTATGCTTCCTCCTCAAATATAACTCATTTTTTATTTGTTGATTTTTTTGTGAGTATATCATACAGAACATCCCACACAATCTTATTCATCTATATACCCACTTCCCAAATGGCACCCTCCCATGGCCACCCCCTCCCACATACTGGAGCCCATATACTCTGTCATCCCTGTTATGGTCCACTGTGCTGTTGACACCCACAGCCATTCTCCAGTGCTTGTCTGTCTGCTGAATCTAGTCAGCCTATCTAGAGATCCTTGTTTTAGGAACATCAGCTGTTCCTCATCTAGCAGCAATCAG